GTAGAAGACTTTCTAAGGGAAACTAGCTCGTATTCATAGTACACATGTGTAAAGTCATGAAAACTAACATGCAGTCAGCCTGTTTCACCTGGGATTGAACTTAGGTCAAACTCCCTGTATTAACAGGAAAATATGCAAATATTCATATACATAAATATAATACTGTAAATAAAAAAGTAATTAAAATGCATTTACATTGTTTGTCCTGACCTTCATTGACACAGAGTCTTCTTCATTTCACTACGAGGGTATTTCGAAAAGTAAAGATACACTGTACGCCAGAGGAAAAGAAAAGTTTTGGTGAGCAAGTTGGTAACACAGGTGTTAACCTTGAACCATTAGCTTTCTATTCCATTAGCGTGGTCATTCAGCATTTCAACGTTGAATCTGGTTGGAGTAGGTCATGTTTAAAATGGCTGTGCCGATTCAGAATCCCACCAAATGCGAAGTGCACTCCATCATGCATTTTCTTCATGCAAAATGTCAGCGACCAGCGGATATTCACAAAGAAATTGTTTCGGTTTATGGGAACATTATGAATAGACAAAATGTAACGAAATGGTGTCGTCATTACTCTGAAGGTAGGACTGATGTTCATGACGAACAAAGAACAGGTCGGCCATCTGTCATCTCTGATGCCCTTCTTCAGAGAATAGAGGAAGCAATTCGTGCAAATAAACGTCTCAAATTGAAAGAATTGCATCAGATCATACCGGAAGTGTCAATGACAACTCTTTATGAAGTTGCAACTGTCAAGTTAGGGTACAGGAAATTGTGTGCACGCTGGGTTCCAACAGGCGGCAACCTTCTATGACTGTGGGATACAAAAGTTTGTGCACCGACTTAACAAATGTTTGGATAATGGGAGTGATTATGTTGAAAAATAATAAATAATCCAGTTAATAAGATGCAACTGACGTTTTCTAAATAAATGTTTTTTTTAAGGAATGCGAGCCATTGTATCTTTACTTGTATCTTTATCTCGAAATGCCCTCGTATTTCTCTCCAGCATACTTCCAGATCTCTCACCTACTGAGGACATCTGATCATAGGTCACTGAGAGACTGCTACACCAACATTATGACTGGAAACCATCCATTATGAATGAAAAAATCTGGTATACAATTAAAGCTGCATGGAATGACGTAACTGTATTAGTCATTTAAGCTCAGCCTTGAGAGTCAATGGCCAGACTTGTTGAAAGTTTACAAATTTCATGAAAGGAATAACATTTTTACAGATTAATTCTTGTTTTCTTCCTAAATTACATGAAGTAATTAAAAAAATTATTTGCTTTATATTTCAAGGCAAAAACTGAATTTTTGAAAACAAATGAAAGAATATTTTGTTCCTATACAACTACTTTTCAGAAATACAGTACAAAGTCCGAGATCCGGATGTCCAATATCCGGAATGATCTAAAATCCAGACCTTAAAGCCACCAAAAAAACATTTTTTTTTATGCTTTACACATGCACAATTGATTTTTTTCCTGTAAGAACACATGTAGAGAATCCTGATTCTTAATTTTACTTCAGCGCTAAATAAAATACCTCGTTATTGAAGAAACAATCATTTCAGCATAAATTTGTGTAATCAATCATTTGGACCTGTAGTTGCATATCTGCTCAGTATACATCTCAAACCGAAACATTCTACACAAAAAGATAGTTTATTTTACAACTAATATTTTATACCCCTGATGCCAATCTGGCAAATCACTCTTTTCTATATTTTTCTCTCCATATGTTTTTTCATATGTTTCTTCTCCATATGTTTTTCCATATGTTTTTTCATATGTTTATGTGTTTCCATATGTTTATCAACAGATGACAACTGGAGTAATGACTCATGTAGCGATGCATAAACAATTTTTTTTATATTAGCATTTGAATAATAAAGAGTATGAAAACCTTTTGTGTTGACATTACACTTGGTGATGATTACAGATTTAAATTAATTGCACTAAATGTTGACGACAAAAAATTTAACAATAATTTCTTTCCATATGTTAAAAATAGATTTTGTTAATGATACTTATATGCCAAAAGATTACATTTAGTGCTATTTGAATTAAGAATAATTGATTTTTTTTTTATTCACATAAACCCAGAACTGGCACCAGAGCTCATATGGCTGAACTAGCCAGCAGAATTTAGGGAAGACAAAATTTTTGGAATTTAGAGAAGCACTGAGTTACAAAATTAAAGGATGATAAAAATTTTTAGAATTTATGGAAAGCACTGGGACCCAAGATTAAGGGGTGGAAAAAATTTAGAACTTAGGGAGGCACCTGGTAGCAGAATTTAGGACCTTCAGAGACTGCATCTGACGGCAAAATATCTAGCACCAGCCCTCAGTGAGCTTAAGTATATGTCAGAATTTATTTATTCAGAACTCAGATAAGCCTTAAGCAGGGGGAATAACTAGACGTAAGTATAATAAATAACAATTCAGGTTTAATTGTCTCAGTGCACGATAGAAGCAAGACAAAATTTAATGGAACATTTTTTCTTTCATCGCCAGTCTCATGCTACATAACCAATAATGCATAGCAGATGCTGTTAAGCTATGCTACAATTATACTTTAGAGATTACAAAGAATTTCAATTTATATAGAAGATTGCACTGTTCCTTAACTTTCTGATTTGATCCAGCTTATTATCTTATTATAATACCTTATTATAATTACAGTAATTGCATGAAAACTAAAGTCTGAACTTTCGATTATGTCAAAAAGAGTTTCTAATTCTGGAGCTGCCAACAGGATCTACAAAGCGAAAGCATGTATCGATGTCTATTAAACAAAAAACGGATATAGGTATATTTCCCTCAAAATTATGCGAGGAGTATGGCATTGGAAAGTCAACTGTATACAACAAAACAGAAAAAATAACTTTATGAATTTTTTGTGGATTCCAACACCCCACTCACAATGAATAACAGAAAAATTATTCACTGTGCTAAATGTGACGATCATGACAAAGTGATGATTGAATGATCAGACAGAGACGCAGCGAGGTCATGCCATTGAAGGGTCCTATGCTAATGGCTCAAGCCAAAATATTTTATGAAGAAATAAACTTAAAAACTGAGTCCGCATATTCGACAGAGTGGCTAACCAAATTTTTAAATTGCTTCAGTATAATGCAATTAAAAATTTCAGTGAAAAACTTTCAACTGATACTGAAGCTGCTGAACTATTTGCAGATGAACTCATTGAACTCATTAATAGTGAAACATTATCTCCAGGACAAATTTACAACGCTGATGAAACTGGTAATTTCTGGCAATATGTACTAGGAAATACCTTGGAAACCTCTACAAAAAGGCTCCAGCTGGTGTCAAAGATTCCAAAGCTAGACTAGTAATTTTAAGATGCGCAAATTCTGCAGGAACACACATGTGTAAACTTTTTGTAATCAGAAAAAATACACAACCTTGAGCATTTAAAGGAGTAAAAATTTTCCCGTTATATATCATGCAAATAAAAGAGCATGGATGACATAAGCATTATTGTACGATTGGTTTGAAAATCATTTCATACTAAAGGCTCGACAAAATTTGAATTCAGTTGGTTTACCTGATGACCCCAAAATTGTCCCGATTGTAAATAACTGTTCGGCTCATATTTGACTTAAAGTTGTAATGAATGATATGCATCCGTGTTATTCTTTCCTCCAAACTGTACATCCATCGTTCAACCTATGGATATTGGAATAGTGCGCATACTGAAATACAAATATAAAGTAGCATTTTTAAAATCCATGTTAAATTTTTTGGTAATGGCACAACTATTCAAGAATTTCTGAAATATTTTAGCATAAAATCTGCTGCGTGGAGCTCCACAAGATTGTGGAAGGATGTGTCTCCAGATACTTTAAAAAATTCTTGGCATAATTTATGGCCAGCTACTATATTTCATAATGAGGATGATGAAGATAATAGCCATGAATTTGAAGGCTTTTGGATATTGCAAACCACAGGTGAAATTTTCCAATTAATGGATTTTGTAAAAAAATGTGGAAAAGTGGTAATAGATGATGACATTAACATAAGCTTTTCATTGTGATGACAATGCTCCAATCATCAATCAATTAATGGATGGCGAAATCCGTAGTATGGTTCTAGATCTCGAAAATACCGCTCCCGATAGTAAAGGAAGTGAAGAGAGGTTATTGAAGATGAAAAAATTTCGATTGAAGAGTTAGTCAGAATTCTCGAAATAGCAACTACAAGACTTGAACAGTGGAACTTTGTAACTGAAGAAGAAATCATGCCTGTTTATAGAATTGAAGAGAAAGTACCAGTATAAAAAATGAAGCAATTTAAATAATTTACATTCAAAGAAATGTTTAATAAAGTAAAACAAATAAATATTAAGCTTTTTTTTGTAAATTTTGATACCCTTTAGATAATAAATGCTTCATTATTTCATAAATTACGATTTCATATTTTTAATTTTATAATTTTTACATGTCATCTTACTAGATTTAAAGTGATGACCTAATGGCAGAAAAAATCCAAATTCGGAATTGCCGAAGTCGTGAGGAGTCCGGATCTCAGACTTTGTACTGTGTTGAATTTAGAAAAAGTTGCAAAGTAAAGCAATTTTTCTGTCATTTTATTTAAAGTCAAAATTTTGTTCAGAAAGGGGAGGTGATAGTAATAGTTACGTGAACAGGCGATTTTTTTAAACTCTGGTAAATCTAACACAAAACTAGGAATAAAGATTTACATTTGCATTTATTTATTTAAAAGGGTTATAAAAAATCATTTTCAGAACTCAAAATTATGAATTCAATACGAATAGAAAAAGTTCAAATAGTTATTAATTCAATACGAACTATTCAATACGAATTAGAAAAAAGTAAATACATTATGTAGCATGGATAAAATTTTTCATTTGAATACTGAATTTCATTTTGAATGTGGAATTGTATATTTAATGTGATAATGTACATTTAAAATATCAAATATATATTAATATATTAACTTACATTGTTACTTGCAAGGAAGTATTTTGGTTTTTCCTTTCCATTAATGCTAAAAATGGGAAACCAAATTTTCCAACAAGTTCATTGCTATCAAGACTAGGAAAATCTTCATCAACTTCACCTGTTTCTTCGGCAATTTTTAAACAATAATTAGATACAGATGGACTAAAAGAGAAAATTAATCACAGGTTACATAACTTTTATATTAATATTACATAAAATACTTAATAATATTAATTCAAACTTCCAACAAAAATTAGAAAAGTCCAAGAGAAAAATGTTAATATATGAGCACAAATAATAAGTGAAAAATGCATACATAATGAAAACTCTTGTGGGGACCACCTTCCAAAGATAATACCACTGAAAGTGACAGTCATTAAGTGAGAACATAAACTTATATTTATTTATCAATAAATATTCGTACTGAGAAAATCACCAATACTTGTGTTTTCTAAAGTGACCACTTATGTAAAAGACCAAAATTGTTTAGAACTGTGTGTTATTGTCATGGTTAGGTTTCACTGTATGCAGTTCTTTTTGGTGACCATTTGACATCATCTTCATCACAGACAGGGCAGCACTACAGCTGGTTCAAACTGAAATTGGTGGTGAACTAAAAGGATGGTGACATTTTTAAAATTTTGGGGAGGCACTAGAGAGGTACAGATAGAAGCAGGCAAAACAATGAGAATTTCACCATTGGTCGTACAAATATAATTCTGCCACATAGACCCTATATATTTACAAACATTCATGCCTTCTGTGAGATTTGAACCCAGGGCCATTGGTATTATGGTCAGCATCACTAACACTATACTAGCTTGAGGCACTGGAAAACAGAACTTACAATCAGCAAAAACTTTTAGAATTTAGGGAGGCACTGGGCAGCAAAACTTTGGACCTACAGAGTTTGCACTAAAAGGCAAAATACCTAGTGCTGGCCCTGATCACAGACACTTTGATAGCCTAAAATTATGAAGATATGTTCCTTTAATCAGTGGTCCTGTTTGTGAACATCTTCCCCAGTGCTGCACTCCAACATGAAAACATTCATCTTTGTACTATTGGCATCTTAAAAGTTTGCCTTGCAGCCACAGATATGCTGAGATGGTCAGCCACGTAGCCAAACCTCACCCTGACAGAAAATCCATGTGATGATACAGGTCATACTGTTAAAATTCTTTTGTTACCACAAAATATACAGGAACAACAAGTCAAAGTCCAATCTAAACAGGACCAGCTCATGGAAGACTATGTTACAGACTACTACATGAGTGTAATGTGGCACAATAATATTAGAAATAATCGCAACCTGACATCCTACTGGAGATTTATAATATTTTTGTAAGTTATGCAATAAAATTTTGTTATTCCACTCTCGGATAATTACATATATTATATATATATATACAAATATACGTGTATATGAATAAAAATATGATAAACAATGAAAACATTAAATAACCTTATTCATCTAGGTAAAAGACAAAAATTATTACCTATATTAATATAATAAAATAACTAAGTTGTCATATAAAATAATATCAAAATTTAAAATCATCTTTACAAAACAAATCATGTTTTGTAAAAATATCTCACCAATTAACTGAATTTCTTAGTGATTTCCTTGTCTTATGAGGGGCATTTACGAGTATATGCAATTGGGCCAAACATGGAGAGAATAAAAAAATTATCCATGCAATCATTTTATTGAGGATATTTTCTACAATGTTAGAATAATTATGTTAGAATGATAGTAATGTTAGAATAATTAAATCCAGAATTTAATAGATACACAGTCAAAGATAAGACAAAATTGAAAGGAGCAGAGAAAACTCAAGTAATCACAAATTCCTGTAAGGGTGAAAAGTCAATATTGATTTTTAATATAATTCCTGAGTGCAAACATTTAATTTATCAAAAATTTATATATACCGAATATTGTTGTACAGATTTAGTAGCAGAAACATGTGATAATTCAGTAACTAAATCCAAAATAAAGTACTATAATAAGTACTGGTAGATGGTAATTCTAATACCCAGTAAAACTACTAACATTTTAGCTTAAACACTAAACTATGTTTTTTTTTTGGTAAAATCATTTCATAAATTAGGTATATTACACCTAAATTCTATAGCTTACTGCAACTTTGGTTCTTTCCCTTCATTTGTATACATCCAACAAATCAATCCAATCAAATCTTGGACACGAGCATTCGATAGACATACAACTTCCATTCCATAATTGCGTTCTTCCTCAGGAAGCATAGTTAAGTAAATAAGAATTTTTTTTGTTGGAGCAGTGCGGCATGTCTGAAAGGCAAAGGTAATATAAGAAACACTGCTATACTTGTAAATGTAAAAAAAAAGTAGAAAAAAAATATGTTATTTATATAATTTAATAGTAAACCACTAAAATTAGTTCCAACAGAAAAATGATGCAAAATTCTTTTGAGTCTCTTTACAACAGCATTTCATACTTTGTAATATAAATATAAAATAGTAAATTATATCAGTAATTTACAGTTATTATTATATTAATAAATTGCAGCCACAAAAGAATTTTAACAATTTAATGATTAATAATTAATACTATCTATAATTGTATTTCTGTTAAATGACAAATGGAATGCTGCAAAGGGTTTAAATGGAATACTGCTATTAAGCATACCAGTATTTCATTATTCCTGGAAAAGCATAATAATCTCAGTAACAGCTAAAGCATTAAACATGGAAATGACTTATAGTCTATAAAAGATATTAAAATACTTATGTGTGATTAAGACACAATAACACGCCGAATAAATACTAATTCAGAAGTCAAACAACAAAAATCAGCATTATATTTACAAAATTTTCTGAGGACTAGTTCGATGGTTTTACCAACCACCATCCTCAGCTGCACTGCAAAACGCTGAGATGGGGTTCGTTAACCATCGAAACTAGTCCTGTGAAAATTTTGTAAATATAACGCTGATTTTTGTTGTTTGACTTCTGAATTAGTACTTATGTGTGGTTTAACATACACAAAAGATTCTAATAAATTCTTTTTGCTTCATTAGAGTTTCATTAACTCACTGGTTTTCAACATTTTGCCCCATATAGTATACCCTTCCACTATTACTAGGCGATGATGCCTCCCTTTCCAAAATTAGAAAAAAAAATACATTTATTTAAATTGAGGTTATTTTTTATGTGTTTTACAAATTAAACAAGAGAAAGTACAGGAAATGTTGACAGTTACCAAAAAGAATAAAATAATAAATAAATAATAATCATTTCTGAATGAGAATCAAGTTTCATTAGCTCAGAGATTCTGAACTTTCTTGTTTTATGTATTCCTTCCACCACTGCTAGGCAATCACTCCCCCCTTTCCAAAACTCAAAAATACATATACATTTATTTAAGTTCAGATTATTTTTATGTGCTTTATAAATTAAACAAGCAAAAGGGCAATAATTAAGAAAACTTGAATAAAGCTGTTTTTTATATTTTCATAAACTACAATTAAATAAGAGGCTGACCATATCCTTCCCCCCTGAAACTAAGAAATTTTTCCCTGGTTGAGAACCTCTGCTAATTTTATACTGTGAGAAGATAATAAATCCTAAACCTCAATTTGAAGGAGTCATTTACATTTGATGTTTGTTTAAATGGAGAATAGAATGGCAATGTTGGTAATAACAGTTTTTTTTTTTTTTTCCCCATGCTCAGCTGCAGCGATGTATTATTTATATATTAGGCAGATCAAAATAAGGTATTTTAGATCAATTATTTATGGCTTACAAGTTGAGGTCAATGAAAAAGAATGAATTAGAATGAATTTATAATGAAGCATTCCATGATGCAAATGTAAGTTATGGATCACACATATTCGCTTGTAGGTGTACAGTGTCTATGCAACAACGGGGCTTAG